AAGGCATGCGGTTTTCAGTTGGATCTGGTTCACCATATGCTTATGGTGTTCTCGATAATGGGTGTGTACTTTCACTCCTTTAATTTTTTGTTTGTCTATTGGTGCAGTATTTTTTGAGCCATTGTTTCTGCAGTGTCTTCCCTTTATTAAGCATTGAACACTTGAACACAAGAATTACAAGTGCATAAGATTTAGTTATAGATAAGGCATTACAAGCAAGTGGACGTGTAAAAAACACCCGTTTCAAAACTTTGAATGTCATGGGAACTTGTCTCTGGAAAAGAAAAAGGGGAAATGAAAAAACAATTAAAAGGATTAAGATAAGTGAGGGAGTTTAATAAAATGGGAAATTTTTTGTCCACATAAGATTTCTTTCACTTATGTTCCTGCTATTCTTTTCCTTTGGTTCTGTTAGAGGTTCGATTGATCTCTGGGATAACTGTATTATGAAATGATTGAATCCCCTTGCTCTGATGTTGTGGTTGCAGCACAACCACATTTTGTTTTTATAACTATTCTGCTTTTTACCCATCAAAGTTATCTTATTATGACTTTAATTATGGCTTTCTGTTTTACCTCAATAGATTAGAAATTGGCCTTCTTTTTCTTTGTTGCATCAAATATATAAAGTTTTTCTCTGATTTTTGGTTCCCTACAATTTTCTGAGTATATTTGAGTTTTATTTGTATGGATGCATTGCTTGTTTTGCTTGTTTTCTGCAAACTTTTATATTTTGGTGCATCGTCATTCTACTGACTGTAGTTGCTTATGCTAGGTACCGGTACGATATGTCTGTTGAAGAAGCTGCTGAGTTGGCTAGAAGGGCTATATATCATGCAACATTCCGTGATGGAGCCAGTGGTGGAGTTGCGAGCGGTAACTCTCTCTCTCTCTCTCTCTCTCTCACACACACACACACACAGAGTACACAACACACATTTTACTTATATTGGTTTCAAACTGGTGTTTTTAATCAGTTTATCACGTGGGACCAAATGGATGGAAGAAGCTTTCTGGCGACGATGTTGGGGAGCTTCACTATCACTACTATCCTGTAGTCCAAGGTGCAGTTGAACAGGAAATGGTTGAAGTAGCTGCGGCCTAAGAATCTTGCACAACCTGGACCAGGTTTGAAGTGTTGTTCCCCCCTTCATGTATCTGATGGCAGATGGAGACACAAGACTAGGATTTCATGACCTGTTTGGTTGATATGTTGTTAGAATCGGGATTTTAAGTTTGATGTCATACAACTTTCTGATAATCATCTTTCCATTGTGGATTACATTTTAATGATTGTTGGTGATGCCCTTCCATTTTAGTTAAACCCTGGTCAAACTGGGTTATATTTTTTCACAATGCTCATACTCCTGGCATGTTCGTATTTTATAATACTAATCTAAATCCAATGGGGAGAAAATGGAAAAGGCGAGTGTTTTTTTTATAGTTGACATGGGCATTGGGTGGTAAAATGAAATAAGTTACTATTTTGATGATAGATCTTGTGCCATATAGTTGGATCAAAATAGTTTGGTCATAGCTGCATGCTTCTTTCGTTGATTTAAACTTCCTCTCACTTGTTTAACAATTGAACGTTAAAACAGTTTCGTGGAGGATTTTGGGCCATAAACATGTATTGTTTACCCATACCATACATGAGAGCATCTTTCCTTAGTGCTGTATTTTGCAACCACTGATTAGTGCTGTTTTCCGGTTCAATACTATCATTAACAGTCCTAGGGGAACCGAAGAAAAATATCCAACCCTCCCAATGCTGCTCACTTTTACAGTATCAGCGGTGGATCTCCATCTGCTCCAACATCTTGAGTCCTTGACATTGAAATTATTTGTTTTGTTGTTCAATACGTCTATTTCTTTCTTCTCTCCCCCAAAGTACTTGATTTTTCAATCTCTCTTTTAATAAGGCTTTGGAGTGGGGCAGTCTCTCTTTCAATTTCTTGCTTGCTTCTTGTTAGCCATGTCTGCAACCAAAAGCTCAGAGTATCGGCGGTCAAGGCAATCTATTGCTCCTTTTTGTTGCTTGTATTTGCACCTTGGTCGTCTGCCTCACAACAAGCATTTCAAGGTCATACAAAAAACCCGAATTCAGTATCAGCAGTGCTTATCTTAACCAGTTGAATTACATCGAAACCAACCATACTCTCTCCTATAACCTTACCCTCGACATCTCCCTCACAAACCCTTGCCAGAAATACCAGTTTTAGTTGATTGATAACCAAGTCTTTGCATACTGTCAAGACCAGAGATTTGGTCTTGTCACTTTGATTGATAGACCGACAGCATTTCACCAACACCCCAAGTACACCACCATTTTTCAGAGTGCAGTTGTTGAAGGCTGGAAGACTATGGGGTTTGAGGAACCTGTGCTTCCCAATGCTGCTCACTCTTGCAGTATCGACCTGGCGATTGCTTTGAGGCGGCGTTTGGTTCATGGGAAAGGAATTTTGGGGATGGGAAACCAATTGCTTTCCCATGTTTGGTAAGTCAGGCATGGGAAAGCGTTGCCTAGCACATGGGAAAGTAGGAGGGAAAGTGAATCCTTCCTTCCTACTTGGGTTTCACTTTCCCTTCCCATGGGAAAGTAAGACTAACTTTTTTTTTGACTAATTTGTCCTTACTAACAATTCATAATTACAATTTTTATCCAACAATTATTGGTATTTTTTTAATTATTTTAATAGGGGTACAATTGGGAAACTAAACAAAATTTGTTTTCCATTCCTACTTAAAACAAACATGGGAAAGGAAATAAAGTGGTATTTCCGGGTCACTTTCTCGGCATTACCAAACATGGGAAGGGAAATGACATGGGAAATGGTTTCCCATCAAATTCATTCCGTGAACCAAACGGGGCCTGAACGAAAAAGATTGATGGATGGTTTTCCTACGTCGCGTGCAACCTAACCGTTCAACTGAGACCAAGTTTTTATTGGAACATCCTGTGATAGTTTCAACACTACAAACTGCTTCTATATTCCTGTTTAATTTTAATCATTACTTTCAATTTTCTCTATGTGCCTTAGCTTCAAATAGATTCTAATTAAGGTTTTTTTTTAATTTAGATATTAAGAAATTTTGTGTTTTCACCTTGAAACTCTTTTTTTTTTCCTTCATACCTTTAATCCATTATATTTATTTATTTATTTATCTTGAACTTAGCGACCATGATTCAAATAAGTAAATCTCCTTTAAATTCATTGATTTAAACTTCCTCGGCTTATTCAACAATTGAACATAATTTCTTTGCCCTTGTAGTCGATCTGGGCACGTCTGCAAATCATTAAGAAAGGTGAAACATATGCAAATTAGAAGTTGTGGATTACAATACAAGGCAAACACTGGACTTTTCTCTACCACTTTTTGGTTCTACTCTTTTTAGGTTTAATCAGAGTCAGACCTACCACCCCAACATGCCTCAGTGAGGTCACTCAAATCAAATGTGTCAACGAGGAGAACCAAATTTTGCGATAAATGGGCCCCACGTTTCTCATGAGCATGTTGAACAACCAAACCAAACCAAAACCAAACCAAAGGCAGGCTGATTGGGTTGGGGTTGAGTTAACTTTTGATTCAAGCCCAATCAATTACATCCCTTAAGTACAAAGCATTGGATAATAATATTATTATTTTTGCCTATTTATGGGTTTGTCTTTTGTCACACGATGTCATCACTACATGCTTGCTACCAAATATATTCTAAGCCCAGAATAAAAAAATCAAATACAGAAAGCGAGGGGAGTCTGCTTTTTATAGCCATTAAATTAAGGGACAATTATTAATTGTCCATTAAAAAAATAAAGTACAAAATAATCCGTAGAATACATTGTTCCACCGTAATGAAAATGATGTGTAGATAGATCCCAATCTGGCAACTACTCGAATGAAGACAGGAGGATAATGAAAAGATAGTACAAAGCTCGAGCAATTTAGCCCTGCTTTATTAGCTTCGAAGCATGTTTTCATCATTAAGAATAAGATATCATTATTATGCAAGTTTCCACTTAACAATTATGTAATTAGTTTACATGATTAGCCAAAAATATCTCGGAAAAAAACCCTGCAATTTCGCAAGGCCTCCGATTAATTATGCGGCTGCGTTTTATGGTCACATCCCGTGCATTAGAGTAATTTTATTTGGAGACTCTTTTTCTTTGGTCAACATAAGTCAGACTTTTAGTTGGAGATTCTTTTTCCTGCCAGTGACCATTACTGGCTTCATTCATTTGTAGTCGCTTTGCTCGTTGCTGCTGTTTCTGTGGACCAATGAAGCCACAACAGATAGACTGTGTGACTGTGTCTGGGCATATATTTTCTTTATTCTGATAGTTTAAGTTCCAAAAATTCCCGTGCATGCTCATAGAATCTTATCAAACAAATGATTCTCTTATTATAAACAACTGATTCCGGTGCTAATTAAACATATGAGTTTTGTTATGATAGTCGCACATTGATGATGAATATGTATTTTATAATGTGACTTACACTTATCTGGTACACTTATACCGTGACTGTCGTTGATGAATGTGACTCTCACAATGTTGCTAGACTCTTCGACGACGGGGAGGCGCGGAATTACCGTCCCTAGCATTTTCCTCTTAAACATAAAAATATTGCAAGCAAGGCCTGGTTTATTAGTTAACCTAGGATAAGAAATTAGATAAAACCAACAAAGAGTCCAGAAAATGATTGAATGTTATTTATAACTGGACCTAACCATATAGTATATGTAACATCAGCATCATATTCAATTCATGCTTTAAAAACACATAGCAAAAGCCACCACTCTCAATGCCTTTGCTTTTCTTCTACTCCCTCCTTGCCTCCCTCCCTCTTATTCTGTTAGCCAGTCCTCTCTCTCTCTCCCTCTCTTTTTGGCGGGAGGTGGACCTCACCAATCAAATCTCCTCCATCCCAAGTCTCTGTCTCATAAATACCGCCGGGCACCAGCCCACCCATAGCTCCAACTACTCTCTCCCACTCTCTCTCTCTCTCCATAACAACAACAACAACAACAACATGCATTTCAATTAGAACCCACATTTCGATTTACAATTTCGCTACCATTTTTATTTTTCTCTGCCAAATTATGGAACCTTCCATTTTCTTCTTCCTCCTCATCTCTATCTTCATTGACTTCACTCTCTCTCTCACCCCAGACGGCCTCTCCCTCCTCTCTCTAAAATCAGCCGTCGAACAGCCATCCGACGGCTCCGCTTTCTCCGACTGGCTCGACACCGACGACACCCCCTGCCGCTGGACCGGTATTTCCTGCATGAACGTCACCGGCTTCCCGGACCCCCGCGTTGTCGGAATCGCGCTCTCTGGCAAGAATCTCCGCGGGTATATTCCGTCCGAGCTCGGAACCCTAGTCTATCTCCGGCGGCTCAACCTCCACAGCAATAACTTCCACGGCTCTATCCCTTCCCAGCTCTTCAACGCCACCTCACTCCACAGCATCTTCCTCTACGGTAACAACCTCTCTGGTTCGCTCCCTCCCTCGATCTGCAACCTCCCCCGCCTCCAGAACCTCGACCTCTCCAACAACTCTCTCTCCGGTTCGCTCCAAGCAGAGTACTTGAAGAACTGCAAGCAACTGCAGCGGTTGATTCTCGCGAGGAACAGATTCAGCGGCGATATTCCGGCGGGAATTTGGTCCGATATGGAGAATCTAATCCAATTAGACCTCTCCTCGAACGAGTTCACCGGATCGGTACCGGAGGATTTCGGCGAGTTGAAGTCCCTGTCCGGTACCCTCAACCTCTCGTACAATCACTTATCGGGCAAGATTCCGAAATCTCTCGGCAATTTACCCGTGACGGTGAGTTTCGATCTCCGAAACAATAACTTGAGCGGGGAAATTCCCCAAACAGGGTCGTTTTCGAATCAGGGGCCTACTGCGTTTCTGAACAATCCTCTGCTATGCGGGTTTCCGATTCAGAAAACTTGTAAGAACCCGGGGCAGAGCTCCCCGGGTAATCCGAATTCGGGACCGGGATCCGAAAACGGTCCGAGAAAGGGTTTGAGTCCAGGTTTGATTATCTTAATATCGGTGGCTGACGCTGCGGGAGTGGCGTTTATTGGGCTAGTCGTTGTTTACATCTATTGGAAAAGAAAAGATAATTCGAGCGGCTGTAGCTGTACAGGGAAGAGTAAATTTGGAGGGAACGAGAAGCTTCATCTCTGTTCTTGCGCTTGCATCAATGGCGGGTTTGGGAACGAGGATTCGGAACAGGGCGACCCAGAAAAAGCAGAGAGGGGAAAGGGGGAGGGAGATCTCGTGGCCATTGATAAAGGGTTCACGTTTGAGCTCGACGAGCTTCTGAGAGCTTCGGCTTATGTGCTGGGCAAGAGCGGGTTGGGGATCGTGTACAAAGTGGTGCTCGGCAATGGCATCCCTGTGGCTGTGAGGAGATTGGGTGAGGGCGGTGATCAGAGGTACAAGGAGTTTGCGGCCGAGGTTCAGGCGATTGGGAGAGTGAAACATCCGAATGTTGTGAAATTGAGAGCTTATTATTGGGCTCCGGATGAGAAGCTTCTGATCAGTGATTTCATTTCTCATGGCAACTTGGCCTCTGCTCTTCGCGGTGAGTTTTTTCTTTTCTTCCTCTGTTTGTTTTGTTTTGTTTGTATGCAGTTGCGTGAATTGAATTACGTGGTTTTGTCGTTTGTGAGTCAGAATCTGATGTGTCGTGTTTTGGTTGGAGTCTTTTAGTTGACTGATAGTTTTTGTTGAACGCATATAATGCAGCTGGGCCACGATTAGGTAGTTTATTTATGCCTAGATTTGGGCTATTGTAGAAGCTTGAATTAGTTGTTATTGGTTAGGCCTGGATCGATCGTTAATGGGCAGCGGGAACTAATTATTATCCCGCGTAGTGCACGAATGATGATCTTGTATTATGTTTCTCAACTCTTATCATTGTTTTTTTTTGTTTGGAGAGACAACTCTTATCATTGTTTGTTGGTCTCTTTTAACCATCATTTTCTTTTTCCTAATGGGCCAGATAGCTCATAAAATTAGACCAAATTGAAACTAATAAATCTTTGACAACTTTGCAAGTAATAGAAAAATGACATGATCTGCCAATGAGGGTTGGTTGAGTTCGTAACGATCGTTCTTTTCAGTATCGAGGCCTAGGTTTGAGTTCTTCTGCTGATAATCCCCCTTGGTGGGTAATCTGTAAAAACCCGAAAAGGGACTAAGACCCCCTATGTAAGTCCATAAAGAGACCTTTGTATCCCTTGGCCAAGCGATGGGTAGCCTCCCCTCCCCGTAAACTTTTTCTCATTAAAAAAAAGACATGATCTCTTATTGGTTCTTCAATTCTGGGTAAGAGTTGTAGCTTGTATTGTTTGAGTTAGGAACAAGGTGTCTTTGCCTGTTGCGTGAGAGTATGTGAAGAGTGGCCCACGGGTAGAGCACTTTGCATGTGGACAGTGGATCAGTGCTGCGATGGGACACGAGTGACTAAACTGTGTTGTGGGGCTTGCACATTTTTAGGGTTCAATCACAACATGGTAGGTCAGGATGATCATCCCTCCCTCATGCTGACGATGAGTCTTATTTTCTGTGGCCTTTCTCACAACCAAAGGGCGGATTTTGTTCTCTTTTGTCCTTCTTCTGCCCTGAAATGATCATCCTACTTTTTGCATTTCATTTTACGTTTCCTTGATGGCATGGAGCCACAGCCACTACAACTACCATGGGCCATGGGCACGGGCTTAATATTGCAATTCTTGTACATTTTAATATTTTACTTTTGGCTACAATATTATAGACTTTGTTTGTATGTCACTTTTGGCTACAATATTAACTGTTTCTTTAATTAATTTCTTCCTTTAATTTTTTAAATAAGAAAGCTAATGAAACTGGAAACTGTACTTCAATTTGCAGGGAGAAATGGCCAGTTATCATCATGCCTCTCATGGACCACGAGGCTAAAAATCGCCAAGGGAACAGCCCGGGGCTTGGCCTACCTCCACGAATGCAGCCCAAGAAAGTTTGTGCACGGAGACATCAAACCCTCCAATATTCTTCTTGACAATGAATCTCAAGCCTACATTTCCGATTTTGGACTCAACAAACTGATAACCATCACAGGCAACAACCCCTCCTCAGGTGGCTTCATGGGTGGAGCTCTGCCTTACCTAAAATCAGTCCCAACAGAGCGATCAAACAACTACCGTGCCCCGGAGGCCCGAGTCCCGGGCAACAAACCCACCCAAAAATGGGACGTGTATTCGTTTGGAGTTGTGTTGCTTGAATTGCTCACTGGAAAGTCCCCCGAGCTCTCTCCGACCACATCAACTTCCGTCGAAGTCCCAGACTTGGTGAGGTGGGTGAGGAAAGGGTTTGAGGACGAAAACCCTTTGTCAGATATGGTAGACCCTATGTTGCTTCAAGAAGTGCATGCCAAGAAAGAGGTGCTAGCAGCCTTTCATGTAGCGCTTGCATGTACTGAGACAGATCCTGAGGTTAGGCCCAGGATGAAAACTGTCTCTGAAAATCTTGAAAGGGTTGGGACGTGAGAGAATTTAATGGTTCTTGTTTGGATCCACATTTATATATAGCCAAGAAATTCCCACATTCACCTGACGAATTTGCAGATTGAAATTTGTCACATGGTGAATTTTGATAGATGGTGGTAGCATTCAGAGTCTTCTCTACCATCTAGATTTATTTCGAAGACCCAAATCGTTTTTGGAAGTCAAGCAATTTCCCATAGCATAATTTTGTTATACATTTCTTTTCTATTTTGTGTTAAATTGATAATTAAGAATTGGGTAGGTTTTGTAATTTAATTCTTTTAAAATTTCTGTCAGTCCCTACAAAATGCTTGTAATAATGTACTTTCCCTCCATTTTGTGCTCCATTATGGGTTGTATATTCACAAGTCCTCAAATAGATATTTTCAACAAAATTCAATCTGATAAAACCTTTGTTAGTTTGCTCAAGCAGGACTCTATTCAACCCAATATTTGGATGGAATAAAAAGATATTGATCAGATAACTTATTTGACACATAATTATTCCTTTCATATTTTTTATTTTTTTTTCTTCTTATTAATTGGACCTACAACTGTTTGTTTTAGCAAAATTCTCATGGGAGCATATTCGTAAGAGATTCTTCACCTTTCAAGCTTCCTTTTCTCTCTTCTTCCTCGATTCCTGTGAAAAAAGTTGGAGTAAATAAACCACACCCGGGGGGTGTTGGCCAAAGGTCCTTCGATGCCTAAGTCAGTTATATGATCTTGAGGAAGATACAAAAATAATAGAGACGATCAGAGTTTTCTTTACAGTAAAAGGGAACTGGGTGGCGGAGCCATAAGAGAGAGAGAGAGAGAGAGAGAGAGAGAGAGAGAGAGAGAGAGAGATCTTAGGGTTTTTTGTGTGTGTGTTTAAAATTACCTCATGTGTGTTGTGTAGCCATGTATTTATAAAGCTCTTGCCTTCTAGGGTTTTTCAGAGAATAATTCCCATATGGAAGGAAATTATTCTCTCCATTAAATGAATAGATTGGATAAATTAGGGAGATTTAATGAAAATCAAATCCATAATTCATGGTGATATCTCTATTTTTAAGTCTAAACAATTGGTCAATTAGATGGAACACAACTGTTGAACTAAGGAATATTCCAATTGTCCATGTGGCACCTCATGATTGGTTTTCCAACTGCATCTGGGCTTCCTTCTGTGAATTGGGCTCCTAATTGGAGGAGGCTTTTAATTTCTTCTTGGAGTTGGACTCCTAATTGGATTAGGCCTTTGATTACTTCTTGACCTAGGATGCCCAACCATTATAAATGCAAGGCTTCTTTTCACTAATCTTCAAATTGCAAACTTGTTTTCCTCTACTTTATAGCTTGTGAGAGAGATCTTGGAAGACCATACTGCTTGTCGAGGAGAGGAGTTGTCGTGCACACCAAGGTCACACTTGGTTTTTTTGTTCTTCGCGGCGAGGATTGGCTGCTTGGGCCATGCCATTTCTTGCCATGACACGACGACAAAGGCTGGAGTGACTAACGACGACTGTTGCCACGATTTACTTTTTTTTTCTTTCTTGCTCTTCACAACAAGGTCCAGTTTACGCGACTAGCTAGATGTGGCCGTGACCGCGAGGATCAGTTGGAGTGGGGATCGTCGAGCAGCTGCTGAGATGGCTGCGTGATCCTCTTCTTCTCGGTGTAGGCCAGCTGGTCGACTTTTGCTAAACCGAGGCATGCTGGTTGGCTCTTAGGCTTGGACCGATCGCGGGACCAGCCTATGTTGGTTGCACCAAGGTCGCAGGAGGAGGTTACTGTCGTTGTAGTGGGCGCGACTATTGTTTGTTTGTTTTTTTTAGGCTGCGCTGTGACCTGCTAGGGTGTTGCACTCGGCTCAAGCCGAGGGGTTGCACATGCGGCTCATGCAACATGGCTCCTCCCTATTGTTGTTTTTGCCTTGCATCGCAAGTTAGCTTTTTTGTCTTGCAATTTGACTTTGCGACTTTCTTCCCTTTTCATAGTTGTTCAACCATAATGTCTTCTGACGAAGGTAGCCGATCACCCAGTTCACAAGTGCCTTTGTACCTGTGGGGAGGTTCCAAGGTGTACAAGAAAAGTTTCGTGGTGAACTTGCATCGTATCACAACTGATGTTCAATTTTAGAAGTGGCGCGCTACCTTTGCTTCTATTATACTTGGTGATGTGCATGTCAGCTTGGCGAAGCCTTATACTGATGATATGTCTCGTGTGGACCTGAACAATCTGGATGCTAGGATTATCACATTCCGCCCCTTCTCCATCTCATTGGGCTTCATGTTTCCCATGTCAAAGTTTTTCAGGAGGGTATTTTATGCTATGGAGTGTTTCCCAAGCCAATGTACTCCAAATGTCTACCGGGCGATCATATGCTTTGATAACCTGAATTGCTTTTTTTAGCTGTGCTTAACTGTGCATGAGTTCTTTTACTTCTTCGAGGTGAGACGTTGCAAGAAGTATGCCCAACTTTGTGTGAGCAATGCTAAGTTATTTGACAGTCTTAGCAAAGGAGAACATGTGTGGAATGCTGATGTATTGGAGGTAAGCGGAAAGTGGGAAGCAAAGTAGGTGACGGTCTACTTGTTCCCATCACCTACTACAATGGTATGTCTTAATCTATTGATCTGCTTCAAATTCATTTAAATTCTTTGATGTGTGGCTGACTGACTTCTGTCTTCTGCTTGCAGAGAAGGATATTAGCAAAAAGCTGGATCTCGGGCTAGACATGGTTAAGGTTCGTCGGGCCTTGAACATCCATGCGAGGTTTTGCGAATGGCGCTGGCTATTGAGCGAGCATCGAAAGAAGGCTGGTGGCCTGCCCCTTGTCAAGGATGTTGAAAGGTGGAAGCTGTGTATGGCCCTTACCTAGATGATCAGCCTAATGGGAGGAAGGATTCCTCGACCGAACTCTATGGGAAAAGGAAGACGGCTCCTAAGCTTTCCAAGGATGAAGCTACGTCTTCACGAGCCAAAAATGTGTCTCACTTGAAGAAAAAGTGTCGTCTTTCTTCCGTTGTGATATAGCCTTCTTTGAAGGATGTCTCTTCTGTTGAGAAGACTTAAGTGAGAGTTGCTCACTCGTCGTCTACTAGAGTCAAACACATTGTAGGCCTTGATAGCAATAAGGCGCATGGCATGTGAGATATCAGGGATGCCATGCTTAAGTATTCAACTGAAAAGTTCAAGACCGGTGATCTGCCCTGCAAAGATGTTGGCGCCAGGCCTGGTTCTTTTACCAAGAAGCAAAGAGCTCTTGACCTTTCTAGTAGAAGCTCGAGTTGTTTGCATGATTCTAAGGAGGAAGATCGAACTGAGAAGGCTGCTTCTTTGCTTGGCAGATGCGCGCCATCTACTGAAATACGAGAGACCAAGGGTGGAGCTTGTCCAACATTGTTGACTTCCTTTGAAGCAAAGATGATGGCAGTGCAAGGAGCAAAAGAGTCATTTGCTCGAGCTAAGGATCGTGATGATCTACCTAGGAAGGCAAGTCTGGTCATGTTGGGGATGTGCATGTGCATGATCTGCTGAAAAGTAACTTTCTAGGAAGCTCATCTACTTGTGCTGGGTTGGTTGATCATCTACAACAGGGTGAGGATTTTGGCACCTTTCCAAGCCTTTCTCCAGAAGAGAAAAATAATAAAGCTTTTGCTATGCTTCAAAAAGGAGTGATTTTCGCCGCTGAGGCTATCTAAAGCTCACCTACCACTGCTTCTCCTCCCACAGAACTTGAAAAGCTGGAGAAGAAGAATGCTACTTTGTCTAACCTACTTTCGACCGAGCGAAAGCGTTATGGGACCAAAGTTTTTGACTTCAAGATAAACTTGTCTTTGCTAGAGAGTTCCCTTGTTACGAAAGATTAGGAATTTGATTCTATTGTTGCCGCACTCTGTGAGTGAAAAGATGTCTATGATCATCTCGATTGTGAGTTCACTTACATGACCCATAGCTATGACAAACTGCTGGATAAGTTCAATGCCCACCGAGAAGCTGCTAAGGCTTCATGTTTCCCTTGTCAAAGTTTTTTAGGAGGGTATTTCATGTTATGCTTCCTATCACCCCATTGAAGAGGGAAGACATACAGTTGTTCTGCCTAGAGGTGCCCCATAATCAGGATGAACAGGTTACTGCAATGGATGAGGAGCATGTAGCTGATGAGTTGAAGCCTCATTTTCTCACCTGCAACTCAAATAAGTACATGCGCACACACTTAGAGCAAAATTAAGAATTACAAACCCCATAAGCTCGTTATCAAATCAGCTCTCCACAGTAATACCATACAATACCAAGGATCAAAAGGAATTTACAAGGGTTCTAATGAGGCTTAGGGTAGTGGTGGAAGAAAAGAGGGGATATGGATATATAACAACATCTTGATCACAACTAAAGCATAGGTAAGAGCATGAGAGATTACTGAACTTTGTAATAAGCAAGGAACACATACATGAGCATATTTTCAACATAATTTCAGCACCTTCATATCTATTTATTTGGCCTAATTTTGTGGCTCTTTATCCTAGATCACCATGATCTTCTCCTTATAACACCGTAGGGCCGTGACTACATTGGTCACACTTCATTACCTCTTTTGATTAGTTACCAATACCCCCAAACTTATTTCTTTTCAACACTTTGGTTATGGCTCTAATGATTCACTTTAGCACCAAAAACCTTGCATTCTTTATAACTCTCTTTTGAAGATAGCTTTAATTACTCATAGAATAAGTAAGGATAAGAAAACAGAGGTTCATTATGGTAGGAATGGTTTACACAAAGGAAGGCTTAACTTAGGCTTAAATGGGTTGACTAGGGATGAATACATGTAGAGGGATGGTTAGAAAGGCTCAAACGGTTCAAACATGGCCTAAATCACTTCCTAAGCATTGTATGGCAACATAATGTCTCAAGAGATATTCAAATAGTTTCTAGAGTACGAAACTAAGATCATGAGATAAGTATAATTGCATAACGTCTCCAAGTAGCAAGAAATTAGACTAATTCGGCAAAGTGCTCAATAAGTGCAAGGATGGCATGCAAAACATAGTTAACTCAGAATCACACAAAGACTTTAAACAAT